ATTGGAACGCTTTCCGCTGATGAACTTTATAAGTATTTAGGTATGCTGCAAAACCTAGGCATCAAGAAGGATAAAGTTAAAGAACGCCTCACCGCCTTATTTGTCAGTCGTCTCAAAGCGGTGCTAAATACCTCACTAAATTCCAAGAACATGACCAAAGCAATTAACACTTACGTTATAGCCGCCCTTTCCTACTCGTTTGGTATTGTCCCTTGGTCAGACACTGAATTGGAAGGTCTGAACAGGACCATAAGAACGTCCTTAACCAAGTTGGGCAAGCATCATCCAAAAGCTGCAATTGAGCGGGTTAACATCCCCAGAAGAGAGGGTGGAAGAGGTATCCTTGACTTGCGAGAGGCATGTCATGGGCAGATTTGCATGCTCCGAAATCACTTTCTAAGTAGGGAGGATAGTACTTTGCATGTTGCAATATGCCGCGTTGATAAGTCTTACACGCCCCTCCGAATAGCTGCGCATAACCCTGAAGAGCAGCAGGCGTTTGACTTGTTACCGAGAAAGCTGGAGAACTGGGTAGGTAAACCGCTACATGGCCGCCACGTCAACCTGGTGCAGCAAGAGCATGTGAATCAGGCTAAGTCATATCTATGGCTCACGAAGGGACAGCTTTACCCAGAGACGGAGGGGTTCGCAATTTCTATCCAGGATCAGGTAATTGGTACGAGGAACTATAGGAAGTATATCACGAAGGAAAACACAGGTAGCGACAAGTCTAGAAGATGTAATGCGGCCCCTGAAACAATAGATCATATCACTTCTGCCTGTGCTCAGCTTGCGGCGAAGGAATATACGGAGCGTCATGACACCATGGGAATAATAGTGCATCAAGCCTTGGCAAGTAATTGCGATCTGTTGGAGAATCCGGAACCTTACTATCGGTATAATCCGCCACCTGTACTTGAGAATCAGCGATATCGCCTGTATTGGAACAACCCAGTCCTAACTGATAGGATGGTTATGGCTAATAGACCTGACGTCATCTTGATAGATAAACAGGCGCGTGTTGTGCAGCTCTTGGATTTTAGCATCCCTAACGGACACAATTTGTTGTCGAAGTATGAGGAAAAGATATCAAAATATATGCCTCTCTCTGTAGAAATTAAGAGAATTTGGGCCATGGACATTGTCTATATTAGGCCTATTATCATGTCCGTCACAGGAGTCGTACCGGAGAGCCTAATTAAACACCTAAAAGAGCTGAAACTCCCGGATCACCTTCTCCACACCATGCAGAAGTCAGTTATTCTCAGCACCTGCAATATAGTTCGGAGTTTCCTTAACATGGAATAGTCCCCTCTCTTTCATCTCTCTAATTTCTTTTTTGGTTTTTAGTTTTCTATTCTTGAAAATCTTAATTGTTAGGGCATAAACAGGACCCAAAACTCTAGTCTTTGACTCGTCTTGGGCTCTTAATACCAGGAAAAATCCTGTGAAGAAAAAAAAAAAAAAAAAAAAAAAAAAAAAAAGTAAATAATAAGTCTGATATACTTGAGCTTCAGTAATTTATTTTATGTTTTGTTTTTCCTAAAAACTGTCCTACCTATGTATATTGTCCGTCGTTTTTCCGTGTTTTGTACGTTGTCCTACTACTGGAATCATTATTCATTCTTTACTTTCTGACAATCTTTACTCGATTCTTTTACTTTTTGACGATCTAAGAGTTTTTATGAGTTTAATTTAGGTGTTTCTTGTGATACGGTGAATATGTAAAGGCGTTACCTTTTAGTTGTAAGAAAATACGTAGAGGACGCCTTGTCAAATCATGTATTGAAGGAATTAGGCTGGAAATGAGGAAATGCGCTTTGCTGGAGATGCTCTGGCAAGATCGCTGTCAGTGGCGGTTGGGTGTCGCAGAGTGCACAGAAGCGCCATGAGAGCGACTTATTAGTAGTAATAGTACAATAATATATTTTAGACTTTTCTTTTCTTTTCACAAAATTAAAAAATAAACCTTCTAAGTGCAAAACTTTGAAAGATTCACATCGGAAAGTACTACTTTTTTGGCTACCGGAAGGACGTGGAGGGGGAGGGGTTGGCAGGATTGCCCCCTCCCTCTCAAATTCAAGTATACTTATAGGGGTAATAATGTTTCTTCAATGTAACTTCCTCAAAATCTCAAAAAACATATAAAAGTGTGTTTATAATGAGAGGCTCTTAGATCTGAGGGGACTGGCGAGAGAGGGGGTTGATCTAGAGGGGGAGAGGGGGACAGTTTATGGGTGGAAGGGCAATTTTGGGCCTTGGTAATAGAAGAAAAAGTATGAAAATCTTAAAATTCTTCACAAAACGTAGAAAAAAGCATCGCAGCTATCAAATAACCATGTATTCTCAATACGGGCATCGCATAGGCCCGGGTTAGGCATTCGTGTAGGTAAAAACGGTTAGTCATCAAAGGGTTCGCAACGATACCATGGGCTAAAGGTCAATTTTCTTTTTTATAACTAAAGATGAAGAAATCAAAGCATTGTTAGGCATTGAGGCATGTCAAAGCCTAGATTTAGTTGTAAGAAAACTACACTCAATTCCTGTAATTGATGCTCAGCACAGAAAAGTAATATATGATAACAAAGACTTATTTGAAGGTTTTGGCAGAATGCCTGGTAAGTTGGTGTTAGAAATTAATCCAAATGTTCAGCTAGATGTGTTACAGCCAGGGCATCACCAATAAAATATCAGAGAAATTTGTTCAAAAACTAGAAAGCCTTGAAATAAGAGGAATTGTGGAGAAAGTACCGCCAAATGAAGCAATCATATGCGTCAGTAAATTATTGGTCAGAGAAAAAAAGAACGGTGACCTAAGATTATGCTTGGGCCCTCAGAACTTAAATAAGTGCCTAGTGCCAAGGAAATTTTCACTCCCCACCTTGGAAGAAATAGGTGCCAAATTAGCTAATAGGAAATGGTTTACTATTTTTGATCAGAAAGAAGGTTTCTGTCTTTATGAATAGATGAATTCTCCAGCAGGCTATGTACTTTTAATACCCCGATTGGTTTGTATAGATTTAAAATTCTCCCATTTGAGATAAATGGTGGATCGGAGTACGCGCAAGAACGTAACATAACTAGTGGGGCCGATAAGCGTAACAATCGTGTACTTCTGGAAGAAAGCATGAAAATTTCAGGGATTCATCTCTACCCTATAGACATTCGATTTAGACATAGACCCCAAAAATCTGAACCCCCTGGGGGGCAGGGGCCCCCCAAATTTTGAATTTTGAATAATTACTGAACGGCTAATGTTAGCGTAATTTTTCTACATCAGGACGATGGGAAATTTTATTAGGAACAAAAATGATTTTTATGAATTTTTCTGTGGGATCGATATTTAAAGCGTGAAACGGGAAAAACCATCGGGGGACGAGGAGCCGGCCGTTCTGAGGCAGATCCGCGCGCTGTGCTGCCTGCCCGGGTCGCGCGCGGCAGCGCAGTACGGTGTTACCGACGTAACAGCCGCTTGTCTTGGTTTAATCTCAACGATGCGTAGTTTTAAAAATATTACAAATATATCGTACTACCTATAAAGCCTTAAAATAGGACTTAACTTTTGGAGGTAATATAGGTATACAAACAAGCGCACGGCAACAGAAGGAGAAGGGGTTAAGTGCTGGAGTTCCGGACTGTTTTGTTGTATGGATTTGTCAAGTCTTAATAAAGCATTCGAGATAATTGTATCAAACATCAGTTGAACGGAATAGAATCTGACGCACAGTCGTCTCGCGAAGGGGGGGAGGGACTAAAAATCACAAATCTTATTTGTATACCACGATGACCTGAAAAATGATTTTAAAGTGTTTTTTTTTACTTTTTCTCGGTGCTGCGCCATCAGAATGGTATCTAAATGTGCTTACATACCCTAAAGTTCCTGGGAGACGGCTTCCAGCAAGACTTTGAAGACAGGGAACCTAATTTTGTAAAAAATGAGTATACATAAAAACATGCCTATTCTCCTCTCTTTAAGGAACATTTTCGTACATCATTGCTACGTTTAGGCATTTTTTTAAGAGGACCAAAACTACCTTCAAAACGTGCTCCAAAAAAACGCCAGAAGAATCTTGTGAAAGCTTGGTACGGGTAAAATACCCCCTTAAAACCTTTGTTGGACTGTTTCTTGTACAGTACAAAGAATATTATTAAGTAATAATTAGCCGCCAATATCCGCTAATCTGTAAAAACGGTCCATTTGAGTGATAGGAAGTCGCGCCTACTGGGAACCTATCCTCCTCTTATGTCATCAATTAAATCGCGCATCATACGATATCCCGCAATCTCGGTAATTTTGCAACTGATTACTGATTACTGATCTTGACTGATTTGTTGATATTTAGACGAGAAATTAACCTTTTGATAATCTCTAAAGCTAATTCGATCAGTGTTATACTATACGATGAAGTTGAAGGTGTGCGTTTTGTGCATTGCATATTTTGCAAGTCCCTTTTCTTGACAATTGTCTCCATCATGAGTGGCGGTAGCCACCACCGGGCAAGTAACCTATCCTCCAACAATTGGCAACACAGCATAGCCCGGTCGAGGCAACGACACCATAGTTACACGAACTTGGCTTATTTGGGTTTTTAGTTGCGGTCCGGTAAACTTTTAAAAGCAACGGAGCGACGGATTTTAGAAATTTTGGTGTCTAAAGATGCGTCTTGATCCCGTCTAACGCACTGTTGAGTTTCAAGGAGGTTGATGATTTATTAAAAGAGATAATTACGCATATGTGCCTAAAAAAGCGAAAAGTATCCAACTTGACCATTTTCACGTTCGGACAAAGCTATGGAGAATACGCGACATCAGAGCCCTATATAATGGTATATCAAAAGAATTGTCTTGTTCCCGTGTAGTGTGCATTTTAGTTTCATTAATATCCAAGGCATCCTAAGAAAAATATTGCGTCTAAACTGCTTTTCGGGTGCAATGGGCGACCCGACCCGCCGACGCTTATCATTGAATTTCTCGCTTACACTATTCTGGAATGAAGTTATGGTTATTTCCTGGAATCATCTTGAAGATATGAGGATTCCAAAAATTATACATAAGTTGGGGTTTACTTTTACCATTTAGGCTGTATCTTGGACAGCAACTCGAAAATCATGAAACCCGACTTCACTAACACATACACACGGTAGAGTAACAGTGTCAGTGCTCTCTGCAGTCATCAACGTCATCAACTCGCGAGCGGAACAACAAAACAAAACAAATCACGAATGTTAGGTTAGTTCCTATTTCATGGACATCAAGAACGATCGAGACAATATGAAATCATTTGGTTTCAATGATTTCAATCCATTTAAGAGTTCAACGATGTTTGTGACAATCATTATCATTGTGTTTTACAACCTGGAACAGAAGTCTATCGCCTCATTGTGAAGTGAATTCTGAATATCCAATCTTAGAACTCAAAACCTCATCATGCTATTCTCTCATTTTTCTCTCTTCATTTTTGGTTCAAATCAAGTGATTTAAAGTCGCTTCACTAAAATTATGTGATCTTGAATCCATTTAAGAGTGCGAAGCTCACATTTTTCTGGCATTACCTACAGCCTTTTTACTCCTCAAATTCTACGGATATGAGTCCATTTCGCTCAACCCAAGTAGCAGTGATCGCGATAAATTGCGATTTAATTGGAGAATGTATCGCGATTTTATCGACGTCGCGATTTATTGCAATATTATCGGGAGAAAAATCGCGATAAATTGCAACAAATTGCAACAAAATCGCGATATTATCGAACGCGATTTTATAGAGATAAAATTGCAATAAATTGCAATTTTTCATTAACGCATGAATGACGCATATGAAAGATGTTTCTATTCCGCCGCCGCCGTTTTTACCGAGATCCGTTGGTAACTTAACCATCTCATTTTTTTTCATCAATTATTAGTATAATGTTACAAAGACAGACTGGTAAGCTTACCTGAAAACCGGTATTTTTACTGATTTTTTCAGGTAAGAATACCACTTTTATTGGTAATCAATCCCCGGTAACTTTACCATTTTATCTCGGTAATTCTACCACAGTCGATAAAAACTATTGGCGTTTTTCCCAAGGTCCATCGGTAACTTTGCCATCTCACTATTATTGGTAATTTTAAAGAGACAGAATGATGAGATTACCAATAGAACCTTATTTTACCAACCGTATTTCAAGGTATGAAATAAAATACAGAGGAGGGAAAATTAAAAAAAAAAAAAATCCAATGAAAAATCGGTGTCAGTCAACGCAAAGACATAAGTTGTGAGGTTGCGAAGCGCCGATCCATGTATAAGAGGCTTCAATTCGCACACGCAA